GTGCCGTACGTGCCTCCGTCCGAGCTCAGCGCGTACACGAGCTTTACGCTGGCGCAGCACTGGATGGGCCGGACGCGGAACTCGATCCACCCCGACTACCGCGTCGCCTTTGACATGATTGCGCTTGTGCCCGAGATTCTCGAGCGGTCCAGCAGCCTTGTCGCGATGCAGCGCCTCGACGCGCGCTTGGCAATGGCGCCGATTCCGCCTCGCACTTACAGTGCGGTTGTGTCGAGGTTCACTGCGCGCTGCGGCCTCCAACGACACGTCGCTCAGAGTCTATGCGATCTCGTGCGGTTCACAGCCCGGTACGGCTGGAGCAAGTACGTGGTCGCTGCACTGCGCGACTTGACCGACCGCAGTGCGTTTGACGAGACGATCGCCATCACCATGCACGAAGTCCACGAATTTATGAAAATGTGCGACGTGGCCAAAATGGATGCGTACGCAAAAGTCCTCGATCTCGTTGCCGCCGATGACGCCGACGACGTGGCACCCACCGACGCTGTCGTGGCGGCCATTCGGCGCCTCCGAGCGCCCTTGCTCAAGGCGATGCGCACCCGGCGGGACCGCGCGTTCGACAATGTTTTCCTCAAGCCCGCCGACTTTGTGCTTCGAGCCAATGGCTATAGTGAGCACCGCCAGCGCGCCGACGACCTCCGCGTCCACGGGTCCAACATGTACCGCGCGCTCTTGTTGAGTACGCTCGGTATCAATGCGTGGGATACGCCAGATATGGACGAGGACTCGCACTTTGCCGTGGACTTCCTTTCCTACCTGTCGCCGTCGGCCTCGCCGCTCGCTACGTGGTGGGATCCGAAGATGTCAGCGCGGGCACCAGCAACCACGCGGATCACGTCGTGGGTCGACTTGGACGCAGCGTTCATTGTGAAGCGCAATCGCCCGAATGGCCATGTCGCCAATCACCTCATTGGACCCAGTAGCTCGCTTGGCGAGCGCCGTCGAGCCGCCGAGTACGTCCGCGCGTACGCTGCATTTTTCAGCCGGGACGTGCTCGACCAGATACTCGTCAATCGGCTTCTAGTCGATGACAGCGCGCAATCTACGGAGGACCGGGCCATCGTGCTGACAGCGCTGCGTCGCCGGGGCGTCGCCACGGACGCGGACGACGCATGGACCACCCTTTTCTACGACAGCGACTACGCCTTGCGTCGGGACAAGGTCCTCGCAGTATTCCAGTTTCTCGGCGTCTACAAGTGTCCTCCTGCCAATGGATGTGTACCAATGCCCGGTGTCGCGCTCTCGAGTGCCTACAAACCATAGCTAGTTCATAATTGTATGAAATTCTGATGACATTTTTGTGCATTTGCGCTGTCATTACGGTCACACCAGACCGTCGAATAGTATCACCAATCGCTCATACTCGTTCGGCGAATAACGTTGATGGCTCCCAAGAAACGCTTTGACTCGAACCTCGGTAGATTGTCCAACGGGAGAAACACTGAGAAAGGACGTCGTCTCCACTTGGACTGTGTTGGGCAACGGGCAACGTCGACAATGACCTTCCTCAAGCTCGGACGGAGCAACGGCGCGTCGCTCTCAGGATTCTTTCTTCCGCTGGCGCACGAAGTCGCATTGTATGCGCCGCCGCCGGTGCCGATTCCGATGATCCAAACGTGTCATGACGTACCGCCGCCCGACGTCGACTGCCTAGGTGGCAACGACGTTCGAGTTGCCCCGTCACACGCTCGTGTCGACGGACCTTGGCGACCTCCGTCTCGATATGCGCGCGTGTCTACTTGGAGTGTGATGATATGACGGCTGTAGTCTCGGTGAGCGGCGAAGACTACGTGTACGACCACGCATGCGTGTCATCGCATGCCGTCCCGGCTACCCTGTCGACGGCGTTAACGGGCTTTTACACACGTCATCTGGCACTGCGCGCGGCGCCGACTCATTTTGCAGTACGAAGCCGCTATGATGCATGCAGCACAGCAAACCCGCCCGATCTTTATCGAAAAATGCACATTTTGAATTAAGTTATGTGGCCCATTGCACTGGGTCTCAGACGCATTGTCGCTTGAGCGCCGGGAGCATGGCGGTGCTGCGGACAGTGTCGTCGTCGCCTTCGTACGTCTCGCGCGACCGGCGACGTGCAACGCTGGCCGTCGCCGCGACGACCACATTGAGCGAAAGGTGCGGAAATGACACGCTCTCTTGCGTAGAAGTGACCAGCTGGGCCTTTGTTGCCGTGAGCCAGCCAGCGCGGTCGCCGCTGGAGGCCCGGACGACGTAGACTTCGGGCACATTCGCTGAAAACACCAGCGTACTGCAAATCACTTGGCCTTTCTGCAGCGTCTCGAGACACGTGGCGACGCTTGGCGACGGGTTGGAGACTAGCGTCGTGTTGTCATCGAGGGCCACAGCGTTGCAGTCACGAGTGGGAAACACCCGGAGGAGCTCGGTGGTCGAGACCCATAGCATCGATCCTTCGAGCCGGGCAAACGACCCACCGAGGAGATCGTGCACGTGCAAGTCGGTCGAGACGAGGTCGCCGTACGCCAAGGACCCGACCATCACCGTGGTGGGACCCAAGCCATTGTAGAGCGGCGTGGCGGCGAGAACGTCGTGGACGCGGAGGCCGGGCACCGGGGTCACCCGCGCCGCCATGGCAATGCCGCTGCGGGCCTCGTAAATGTACCGACCAGCTTCGATCTGGAGAAAGATTGCGTCGTCTTGGCCGTACTCGCGGCGCGTTGCAATGACGAGCGCGCCCGTGGGCAAGATGTAGGGCGACCCGTCCGGCTGCTTGGCGCGATGGGCAAACTGTGGCGACGCGCAGACATGGATGGGCTCGAGGAGGCGGTAGATGAAGTAGCCGTCTAGCGGCAGTGCCTCGCGGGCGCGGCTCGCTGCATGGCTCGCGGTGTACTCGTCGATGGCTTGCTTGAGCGCAAAGTTGGGCACCAGCAGCGTCGAGGCCAGATGTGCGTTCGTCGACGGGCTCGTCGTGTGCGTGCGCAGCCACGTGGCAATGCAGTGACGCTCGTACGAGTGGCCGTCCATGGCGACGACCGGGTCGGTCATGACCTCGTGCGAGATGGGGCAGACGAACGAGGCGAGCATTTTGCGTTTCTGCGCCGGGACGGTCGCGCCCGTTTCTGCCGAGTATG